TGAGCTCAGATGGAAGGACGGGGAGCCCGCCCTTGTGTGTGATGCAGTTCTGACTTGAGAGGGCCCCCCATCCTCCAAAGGGCTCAGGGAGACAGTACTTGCACCTTCCAGTAAAAACACGCTCACACCTGGGACCAGTCTTCATTGAAGTCAGCTTACATACAAGTGACTATGGGTTAGATTGTTCTTAAGGAATGGGAATTTGGGGGAAATGAACAATTTTACCGAATTGGGGAAAAAATTCTGCCATTTTCTGACTGTTCTGGCTGCCTCATAAAAATCTGTTGGGTGGCACACTAACTTTTCCCTTTGTCTTATGTATGGGATTTCTGCCTCCCCACAGACCCTTGCCCCTCCTTGGACCTGTGGCTCCACATGGTGGGGTCTGCTTGCTGAGTGTCAGACAGCACGTTTATTAAACACGTGTGTGTTCAAAGGACTCACTCAGTGCTTAGGGACGTGAAAAGGACAGGTGGTCTCTCCCTTCCCGTTGCTTGTATAAGAACTGGGAGGAAGTTGACTTCATACATCAGTTTACAGGATGAAAATGAGACCCAGAGAGGTAAAAGTTATCGGGGTGCTAATGAAAATGGACATGTCCGCGAATAGCAGCATATTCTCCCTCTGGAGTTTTAGAGGGAAGTCGGTGTAACTAGGACAGAAAGGTACATAGCCTGATGCTGCCAGCACTTCCATGACCACGGCCACGCTGATGTGCATCCCCCCACACACTGTGCCAGCACATCCATGACCACGGCCACGCTGATGTGCAGAGTCCCCCCCACACTGTGCCAGCACATCCATGACCACGGCCACGCTGATGTGCAGAGTCCCCCCCACACTGTGCCAGCACATCCATGACCACGGCCACGCTGATGTGCAGAGTCCCCCCCACACTGTGCCAGCACATCCATGACCACGGCCACGCTGATGTGCAGAGTCCCCCCCACACTGTGCCAGCACATCCATGACCACGGCCACGCTGATGTGCAGAGTCCCCCCCACACTGTGCCAGCACATCCATGACCACGGCCACGCTGATGTGCAGAGTCCCCCCCACACTGTGCCAGCACATCCATGACCACGGCCACGCTGATGTGCAGAGTCCCCCCCACACTGTGCCAGCACATCCATGACCACGGCCACGCTGATGTGCAGAGTCCCCCCCACACTGTGCCAGCACATCCATGACCACGGCCACGCTGATGTGCATCCACCCACACACTGTGCAGCACATCCATGACCACGGCCATGCTGATGTGCAGAGTCAGTCCCCACACATACTGTGCCAGCACATCCATGACCACGTCCACACTGATGTGCAGTCCCCCACACACTGTGCCAGCACATACATGACCACGGCCACGCTGATGTGCATCCACCCACAAACTGTGCATCACATCCATGACCACGGCCACACTGATGAGCAGAATCTGACCACAGCACACTGATGTGCAGAGTCCCCTCCACATTGCTGTGGGGGCCACCGGGACTCTTAGAGTGCACCCTTTATCCTGTTGACAAGTGTCACCTTGTCTGACCCTGTCCCCTGCTTCCCCCTTGAAATGATGTTAAATCTCTTTCAGTTTTGAGTTTTTGCACATGTAGGAAGCTTTTAACTCCCTGCTGACATGGCTGTCAGTGGTCATGAAGAGCCTTGTAGACTGAACTGCTTCCTCACACTACAACCACAGCGTAGTACCTATTGTCTCACGTGGGACATAAATGCTGGGTTTCTTTCAGGTTCAAGGGCATGCAGACTGAACCATCAAACATCCAGCTGGCTGGCAGCGTTCCAAAGGGGGAAAAGCATCCTGAAGTGAGCGGTGTCCTAGGAAAAATTGTACCTTCACTGATCTGTGGTTGAAATGAGAATAAATTATATTTTATTTGCATATTCTTAAACTCAGATGATTTTTCAGATTCAGAATAGGAGTATTCTCTTCAAAATAGAAATAACTAAGTTGCAGTGTGAGTCTGTTTGAATCATGGAGAAAGTATTGGTGTGAAAGTTACATGAAGTTTCATTATAGATGCGCATTGCTCCCAGTGTAGTAGGTGGATTGCTCACTCTTCACTTGTGAGGTGACGGATGTGTCCATGTGCCTTTAACCCGTAAGCAGTGACTGTGGACCACACTGTGTAATGCCTTCGCTAGTAAGAGGACCAACTGAACATATTCTATGCATTCCTCTTTGGATTTTACCATTGTATGTAAATCATTGGGTTTTCAGCATGTTGAACATATGAGCTTTTAATGATTTTTAAGTATGTATAATTATTTTCCCTAACATTTAAATAAAATATTTTTATAACTTTCTTGTGATTTTGTTAATACAAACGTGGGAATAGTTTGTTTTCAGCTATCAGCGCTGAAAAGTTACCTGTAGAAATGAGGTTTGTTTTTCGGGAGGCTGCTGTGCTGTTCAGACACCTGAAGACTAGTCACTTTCACACACAAGCGTGTTCCCCTTCCACCTGCGCATCGCGAGCATTGTGACGTGGAAAGTACCTGATGTGGATTCTTCTTTCCATAAAGGGACTTCCAGAGATGATCTGATTTGTCTCCACTTGTGTGTGGCTCGGGCCACGCTGTCCTGCCGCTGCCTGACCCTCAGTGGTAGTCTTTCTCCACCTGCGAAGTGGGAACATCTGTCTTGTATGGTTGTGAGTAGTAGGAATAATGCTGATAAACCACTATTATAGCACCTGGCACACAGTAGGAGCTCACTCAGCAAATAGTGATGGAGAGGGAAAGAAAGACAAAGCGATCTGGGATCGGGAATGGGAGAAGGCATTGTGATTGTTTGTGAGGCAGGCGTGTGAGGGTGTGAGAGCCATTTAAGGTAAAGAGCGAGGTCAGGCAGGAGTCGGCGATGCCAGTGTCCAGTGCAGGGCGGAGGCGGCAGCCCTGGCAGTTAGGGTGACCGAGGGCGTTGGTTTGGTCCACTGGAGGGAACCTTGGTGTGGCCAAAGTTCAGTGACAGCTGCCACAAATCCTCTGTCTGCCTGCCTGTCTGGATAGAGTCTGGAAAGGAATCATCCATCCCTCCACCTCTCTACCTGCCTGTGTCCATCTATCCACCTACCTACCTCTTTGCTTACAGAGTTGTTTACTACCTGGATTGAAATCTAAGGCTGGGATTTTTTAATTGATTTCAGAGAGGAAGGGAGACGGAGAGAGAGAGAGAGAGACGTCGATGAGAGAATCATTGATCGGCTGCCTCCTGCACACCCCACACTGGGGATTGAGCCTGCAACCTGGGCATGTGCCTTGACCAGGAATTGAACCATGGCCTCTGGGTTCATAGGTCGACACTCAATCACTGAGCCACCCCAGCCAGGCTCTTTGTACTTTAAATGAGCAAAGGTAATGCTCGCTGGTCAGTTTCAGAACTGTTGGCTTAGTAATTTGTTTCTCGTTCATGCAGCTCCCGCTTCAGCAGGGAGAATCTCAGCACTCACTGAAACAACACAGGCGACAGGCTCTGCCATTTTCAGCACGAGGCTCCCAAGGATGGCTGGTGTTGCTGTCAACATCTGGCTGGTCGGAGGGGTAGGTGAGAAAATGGAGGGTCCCGCAGAGGTTCTCATGGGCTGGCCAGGCCTGGGAGTGCCCATACCACATCTGCCTGCACTGACCATTCTCACCTGGACCCAGCCAGCTACAAGGAGCACTAGGAATTAGAATCCCTGGCCTGGCAGGCACTTCCCAGTGACTGTGTCTCATAAGTTCAGTTCTGTGACTGACACATAGTAGGTGCTTAGTAAGTAAAGTGTCTTTGGTACATTATGTTCTCAGGCACTTTCCAAAGCGCACTATGTGTCTCAACTCATTGTATCCTCATAGAAACGTGTTAAAACGGTTACTACCAAGAGCTCCATTTTACAGGTGATGCAGCTGAGGTACAGTGAGGGTTAGTAACTTGTCCAGCATCCCCCAGCAGGAAGCGATGGAGGCAGGAATCAAACCTCACAGCCTGGTGTTAGAACTCATCCACTGAACCACCACTCCACTGCCTTTCCCCCTACAAATCCATGTTGACTTGAGCTGAGGCGGTTTTTATAGAGCCTGGGCGCTCACGGAGCCCCTGCCGTCTGCCAGGCACTAAGCTCTCCCTCCCTCCCAGGTTCCCAAGGCATTTGACACAGACTGCGAGCTTCATTTTGGCCCCAGGGCTGGTCCCAACCTAGCACAGGGGCAAGTGCTCAGTGCACATTTCTCAGTGGATTAAAAAAAAAGCTGGATGCTAGAGAGCAGAAAGAATCAGACATAGTTCTTGCCTTTAGGGAGCTCAGAATTTTAAGAAACAGTTAATTTGATTATGACACGTGGGTGATAGAGTGATGGACAGGTGGACAAGTCCACCGGGGGCCACAGAGTGAATAAGTCGGTGTCTTGGTCTCCTGGGGCGGCCATGGGAAAGACTACAACTGGATGGCTTGGACAACTGAAGCTTATGGTCTCACAATTCTCAAGACTAGAAGTCCAAGATGGAGCTGTCGGCAGGGTTGGTTCCTTCCAAGGGCATGAGGAGAATCTGTTGCAGGCTTTGCTCCCAGTCGCTGGTAGTCTGGGGTCTCCTGATCTCCTGATGGCCTTCTTTCTGTGTCCTCACATCTTCTAAACTAGAGACCTGGTGCATGAATTTGTGCACAGGCGGGGTCCCTCGGCCTGGCCGGTGGAAGGTTGGCTGTGGGAGTGCACTGACCACCAGCAGGCAGCTCCTGCATTGAACGTCTGCCCCCTATTGGTCAGTGCGCATCATAGCGACCAATCAACTGGTCGTTTGGTCACTTAGGCTTTTATAGATGTGTGTCATCAAATGTTCCCCTTTTTAAAAGGACAATCACATTGTATTAGGGCCCACCCTAATGACCTCAACGTGATCATTTATAAGGACCTTATTTCCAAATAAGGTCACATTCACGGGTACTGGGGGTTAGGACTTCATCTTTTAGGGGGACGCCAGGTCACACTCATTGAGACCTACTATGTGCTGAAAACCACTGATCTACATCCTGCACAATACGGCAGTGGACAGGACAGGCAACAGCCTCCTCAGTGGGGCAGCCAGGCCCCAGACTGCACATTCCAGGGAAGAGTGTGTGCTCAGAGGAAAACAAGGCAAGGCTAGAGCACAGTGCGGAGGACATGCCACCCCGCCCCACACCCGCACTGGCCAGATGAGGAGACCACCCATGTGTGCGTTCAGTGCAGCCTCAGTCTATTTACTGAGCCTCCGCCTGGCTTGGCTCGAGAGACATCAAGATGATGGACACGTTCCCTGGTCACCGCCTGCCTTTCCAGCCTCGTGCACCATCCTCTCCGGGGAACGCCTTCCCCTGCCCTGCCCTGCCCTGCCCCATGTCGCCTGGCCAGCTCCTACTCCCAGGTACAGAGACTTGCAGGTGCTGCCTCCTCTGGGAACCCCTCACCCTGCCTGGCAGACTTGGGTTTCCCCAAGCATCTCCTCCAGGCAGCCTTGCCCACGGGCTGCTTGCTCGTTTCATCCAAAGCCATGAGCTCCGTAGGCAGGGCTGCGTCTCTCCAGCTTCCCAGGGAGGCCTCCACAAGGACTTGCCCGTTGAATGTGTCTCTACCAGAATGTCAGCTCATAGTCCCTCCCCAGTGCCTAGAACAGCCTGGCCAATGACACAGAGCGGAAGAAACGTTGACCACATGGATGTATGAACCAACTGAAAAAAAAAAGGAAGGCAAGGCCGGGTCCCCAGGGTAGCTCCCTCCTGACCCAGGGTTCCCGCAGCCAGGAGCCTCTGGCCGCCAGCACTGGCTGTGTATTTTGCTGGATCTACTGCAAAATGAAGGCAACAACAGAGCATTCATCCAGGGACGGGTCCAGCCTCACTGCGCAGGTGACTGGCCGGGGAGGCCTGTCCCAGGACCGCTTAGTGGGATCTCAGGTGGACTGCGCCAGCTTGGAGCAGGCTGAGGGTTTGAGGGAGGGGCTCAGGACAAGGTATCATGCACCCCGGCCACCCCACCCTCAGCTCCTCTGGTCCAGAAGTAGCTCCCCATCCCTTGTGGGAGGGAGAGAGAGGATCTTTGCTTGGGAAGTGGCTCCTGTCTATCCGCATCTGGGCGTCTCCTTGCAGACACACAGGGACACCAGAGGGACAAACAGAGACAGGAGAAGACACGCCCTCCCCCTATTCATAGACAGAGAGACCCGGACAGCCAACACCCCAGAAATCAGCAGGGACAGGACAGCCTACTGACAGGAGGGATCGCGCGCACGAACACTGACTTCCAGGCTCACCGGGACCTCAGGGACAGCGCGGGGCGGCGCACGCACCCGCAGAT